TTAATATGTTATTTAGTATATTTATTTATTATAATTTATTTTAATTAACAATTCTGAGGGAAAAAGCTGGATTTTCAGAATCATTACTCCAGTCTTCAGTGTCACATGATCCTTTAGAAATCACTCTCACATATATAAACATACAGTAGAATCTCTGTGTTCGACCATGAAACATCTCCAAAAAAAACATGGTTTTGCTGTGTAATAAAAATGTCTTTTCAAGTTAATCTTTTGAAGGTTTTGGTTCTATTTGCTGGTTTAGTTCAGGTTTAACAGCAACACTGTTGAAGCAGGCGTAAGATCAGCCTGAGATCTCAAAGAAACACTAAACGTTAGGCTTTACATGAGATCATGAGTCATTATAAATGTACATGTGATGAATGTACTCTTTTGTTCTTGCGGTTCTGCTGACAGCAGCATATTGCAGCAGCTGCTTACAGTATGTTTAAAGCAGGAAACATGTTTGATTTATCGTTGTTCTGCTTGTTGCCTGGCTGATTTTCAGGGCTCGGCAAGATCAGCAGAAACTGTACGGAGTTCGGTTGGTCTGAACCGTATCCGCACTATGTTGATGCCTGTATGATTGGTGACAACACAACCAAACCTGTGAGTATCTCATCTGACTGAAGTACTGATGATATAAATCATCTGGAGACAAGCTCAGAACAACTGTATACTAAGAGAATATGAGGGTCATAAGCACCATAGTCATTTAGGAGACCATCGTCATTACAAGAGTAATAAAAATTCAAATGTATAGTCCACCAATATGACAGATTCTTAAAATTGTAAAATTTTGTAATTTAACTTTCTGATTTTCACAAGAACTGTGACAAGCTTTTTTCCTCCAAGAAAAACTGAAATAAAAAGGCAATGGCGAATCTTTATCTCATAATTCCGACATAATTAGACATAGACTTTTTTTTTTTTTTTGCAATATCTGACTTTTTTTCTCAGAATTGCAAGTTTGTATCTCACAATTGCGAATTATAAACTTGCAATTACAAGTTAATAACTCAAATTTTCTATCTGGCAATTCTGACTTTTTTTTTTTTTTCAATTTCAGGAAGTTTCAATTTTGCCAGAATAGCAAGATATAAACTCACAAGCATTTTTTTAATCAGAAATGCAAGTTTATAACCTGCATTTGTGAGACAAAGTTTTGAGAAGAAGTCAGAACTGTGAGATAACGTCATAATTACCTTTTTTTATGTTTTTTATTCCATGCAGAAACAAGCTTTTCGTCTCGATTTGCCCAATTCTGACTTTTTTCTCGCAATTGTGAGTTTATATCTCACAGTTCTCAGAATTGTGAGATAAAACAATCAGAACTGCAAAATTGTGATTGTGAGATAAAAAGTCACAATTATTATTATTTTTTTTTCCCTTGTCGGGAAAAAAAGCATTCAAAGTATTGCACTAACAGAAATGAAAGAAAGTAGAAAGCTCTGCTAAACTGCTGCTAATCAAGACTAATGTAGTTTTCTCTTCCCTTCCCAAGGACATGTACTATGCATCTGTGAAAGCTCTCTATACGGTGGGCTACAGCACGTCTCTGGTGTCTCTGACCACAGCTATGGTCATTCTGTGCCGCTTCCGGTCAGTTTAACATATACTGATGAAACTGATGAAGTACATGATGCATTTATCTTACCATGTTATTTTTGCTACTTTATTGGTAGTGATTTGATTATGTTAGGAAAAAGGAGTATTTTACTAGAAATATTTGCTGCAGTACAAAACTGCGACTTAATTTTCTTCATGCAAAATATAATTTCTTTTGTTTCTTCTTTTTTCTTTTTTGGTGTGTATTATCGTCCAGACGTGAGATTGGCCTCTCAACTTTTTAAAGTACAGTTTCCCGATTACAATGAAAAAGGATTTTACAGCCTGATGCAAATGAAGAAGCTTTTTGAGTACTTTGTTTTCTTTAGTTCTTTAGAAAAGCATCTGTGTAGTGGCGCTTTACAGTACCTAAAAAGCAAATAGAGTGATCTGAAGAGCCTGTGTATGATGTACATTATGATAAGATGCCGAGGGCTTCAAAGTAGCAATGATGAGTGTTTGCACATTGATACAGACCCTCAGCTGCCCACCCAAACACATTAGAATTTCAGTCTCCTAACAACACCGTAATCCTGCCTTTGAATGTCTGTCAACAGGAAGCTTCACTGCACCAGGAACTTCATCCACATGAACCTGTTTGTGTCCTTCATGCTGAGAGCCATCTCTGTGTTCATTAAAGACGGGGTCCTGTATGCTGAGGAGGACAGCGACCACTGCTTCGTTCATACTGTGAGTAATGCACATGCACCAATACACATATTTTGTTTTGGATTGAAGCTTCATTAACCTTTTTAGTTTTATGCCTGAAGAAATTAATATGACAAATGTATTACAAATTATGTTTAAATTAAATTAATTTAATATGTTCTATGTAGTAGATTACTTATATATATATATATATATATATACACAGTATATATATAATACCACTAAATACTAAATATACCAATACTTAAAAACACTATTAAGTATTATTAATTATTTCTAAATATTTATTTATAACAGTTTTACCTTTTATGGTACCATCAGCATATAAAACTATATGGTTTTGGTGGTGTGGTTTAAAGTTTTTCTATAGGCTTTGCTTTCACAGTGAATCACAGATAAATGGAAACTGTTACTAGGGCCGGAGTTTGGCTGGATGCTATTTGCATGTGAAATCCAGAGACTAATAATAACTCCATCCATTTCTGTTCAAGCCTTCGCCCCACGTTCAACAGCAACACGTTGTGTTTCTCCCGTCTGTGCCTGACAAACAGCCGTAATTATCATGAAGCTGCTCTGGAAATATTCCATTATTTCCGTATTAGCATATGAATAGCTTATAAAAACGTGCACGCTCTCATTATACACCTGAATGAGGGCTCTGAGCTCTTTCCCCAGCCAATCAGAGGCCATGTTAATGACATCACTTAGCACCGAATTGGATCAGAGTGTAATTGATGAACATGGTTAAATACTTTAGGGTGTTCTGACACACGGCGGGCAAGAAATTGTGAATGGAAATGAATGGAAATATACATACAGTCTGTCAGACGGAAGGATGCATCATGGATCCAGTTGCTTACAGCTGGTTTAAGATGGTCACTAGGCCGGGTTGATTAGCTAAACTATCTGGCAGACCACTATGGACCAGCAACAAATCAGCTGCTAAACCAGATTGACCAACTTAAACTGGTTTGACCCAAGAAGGCCTATAATACAAAGAGAAATCTCTCTGTTTGCATTCATACATCAAATAGCCAGTGTCAGTTTTTGCACTTAAATAATTTCCTAATGGATGAAGTCCTGTCATTTATTATAAACTGTTTCATAAAATATGTCAGAATAGAGATGTAAAATGAAGATGGCTAGATTTCTGAAATAGAAACCAGAGACATTTCCTACAGTTTAGTGGTCAAAATATCATTGAAATGTCACTTGTTATGATCTTGGAATTAAAAAATGAGGACAAGACTTTTTTGTATGTTTTTGTTTTCAATTGTTGTGTTTTTAACATACTTTTATTATAATAGTATGACATTTGCAAGTCAAACTGACCCTAACTGGTATTAATACCATTTACCAAGAATCACGCTATGAAAAATAGTCAATTGCAAATAGCAGACAGATCAAAATAGTATATTATATATACTATATATACTATATTATAGCACAATTATGACTTTACAAAAACATAATCAAAGAAATACGAGAGCATATGATAAAACTGATTTTAACAAATATGTTTAACATTTTCTATCTTAATAATTAATATGTTCATTTTCACAACTGAATATAATATGTCAGAATAGAGATGTATAATGAAGATGGCTAGATTTCTGAAATAGAAACCGGAGACATTTCCTACAGTTTAGTGGTCAAAATATCATTGAAATGTCACTTGTTATGATCTTGGAATTAAAAAATGAGGACAAGACTTTTTTGTATGTTTTTGTTTTCAATTGTTGTGTTTTTAACATACTTTTATTATAATAGTATGACATTTGCAAGTCAAACTGACCCTAACTGGTATTAATACCATTTACCAAGAATCACGCTATGAAAAATAGTCAATTGCAAATAGCAGACAGATCAAAATAGTATATTATATATACTATATATACTATATTATAGCACAATTATGACTTTACAAAAACATAATCAAAGAAATACGAGAGCATATGATAAAACTGATTTTAACAAATATGTTTAACATTTTCTATCTTAATAATTAATATGTTCATTTTCACAACTGAATATATTTTGTGTCTCATATTATTTAAGCATATTATTTAGCATTTTAAAATTTCCTTAATGACCTGCCCAACTCAGTCCGAGCAGCTGAGTCCTTAGCCATCTTCAAGAATCGGCTAAAAGCACATCTCTTTCATTTTTATTTGACCCTCTAACTCTAGCACTCTCTATTCTAATTCTATTCTTTAAAAAAAACTTGCCCCTTTTAGACTTGCACTCTATTTATTTACTAACTGCTTGTTTTCTTTAAAAAAAACA